TATTCGGAGACTTGAATATTCAACCCAAACAAATTTTAAATATAGTATAACTGTTAATATTTTATTATTTGCATGTCCAGTAAAACAAAATGAATTACGTATATTATTATTATCCTCTGTAATTCTATATTATTCATTTCTTAATTAAATATTTATGTTTCATTTATGTTTCATTCCTGAATTCGTAATAACACTTAGTTTAATGATAATGAAATTATTATTACTGTCATAATTATCAGCTATTTGTTTGTTTACTTTTACTTTATTCATTATTATTTCTTCAAGTGTTAACCTGTAATTTGTATTCGACTTTTAATAAGATTGTGTATAATGTCATTCATTCTTCTGCACTGTGCGGTGTCTGTAATTGGCCTTGCGGCTGTTGACTCGGCACATTAATAATAAAGAATTGAATTGAATTATTAATTAAATATTTATGTTTCTTTTCACTTCTAAATAACACTTAGTTTTATGATAATGAAATTATTATTATTGTTATTATTATCATTTATTTGCTTGTTTGTCTACTTTTCTTCATTACTGTGTTTTCCCAAGAAATTTCCTGTAATTTATTTTTGACTTATAATGTGTTTGTCTAATGTTTGTATAATGTTACACTTAATTACTTTCATCTTCACTGTGCTAAGTCTGTAATTGGCCTTACGGCTGTTGACTTGGCACATAAATAATAAAGAATTGAATTGAATTGAATTATTTATTTATTTATTTCGTCCATAGCTCTAGAGAATTAATTGGACATGTCAAATATTAACAACTTCACATCAAAAATAACATAACATTCACACAGTGATTTAACACTATAATATAGCAATACATTTTAAAATACATTTTTAGCTTAATTTAAGAATAATAAATACTCCAGTAGAGACATAATAAATATTTTAAACATATAGACAGATTTATTAACAAGCAGTCTATGTCAGCAATTATTAAAAAATTCTTGAAGAGAATAGAAGACATTACACAACAAATAATTCTTAAGTTTCTTCTTAAAAACATTAAAATTTATTTCATTCTTTAATTCGTTTGGAAGGCTATTAAATATTTTGGTTCCCATACTAATCACCCCTCTCTTGCTGTGCTCAGTATTACAAAATTGTACATACAAATTGTGTTTATGAATAGTGTTATAGCCATGAACATCAGAATACTGGGTGGTATAAATCTTATTTTTTATTATAAAACATAAGATCTCAAAAATGTATGAGGAAGTAACAGTTAAAATCTTTAATTCACGAAACAAATTTCTACAGGAAACTCTATTTTTAACACCTTTTACCACGCTTACACATTTTTTCTGCAGTTTAAATAGAGTTTGAGTCCTTTTGCACCCCACCCCAAAAAATAATACCGTATTTCAACACGAACTCAAATTTTGCAAGATACACACTTCTTAACAGTGTGGCTCACTGAATCCCATAGGGATTTTATCAAATAGGTAGTCTTGCTAAGTTTTTGACACATATTGGGTGTGGGTTGCCCAACTTAAATCTTCAGTAATGCAAATACCCAAAAATTTTACATCCACTGAACAAACCACCTCATTATTTATATAAGAAAGGGGTCTGGTACTTGGAATAGATCTACTTCCCTGAAAAAATAATACCTTTGACTTATCCATGTTTATTATTAAACAATTTTCTAATTGATTCTTTACATTCTGAATTTTTTCATTTAATGATAAAGTATTTTTTCCAGTAATCATATATTTGTATCAATGTATTTGTTCGTCGTGTGCAGCACAAACTGCTGCATGAAATATATGAATAAGAGCCATGTACCAAATTTCATTGTTTTGGTTGCTATGTAAAATTACAGTTTTCCTCATTTCCAGGATGGTTTAGGTCACAGTATTCAGCCATCTAGTGCCTTTCTCAACTGCACCGAATCTCTGCAATCTCAGTCATATAACCAGAATCATTTCTCAGGTGAGAAAGATCTCTATTCTGTTTTCCTCCCTGGTTCCCCAGCCATACACAGTAATGAGTAAAATTATAGTTTTGGATATATATTTTATAGAAAGAAGACATATTTTGCGGTAAAAAAAAAGAAAGCTATGCCTGTACCAGGCCGTGAAGGCCCATAGGGTTGTGAGACGTTGAGGGTCCCACATTATCTAGACAGTCGGCTCAAATATGGTGGTAAGGTTGTCAGCCTTACGAGCCTGCCGTGCTTTTCTCCCCAGGAAAATTATTTAATTAATTCCTGGTACTCATTTCTGTTAGAGGCTGAGTCGACCCCAGGGCCATAGTGCAGCTGAAAGGATTAGGTCAATTGAAAAAATCCAATGACCTCATCGGGACTTGAACCCGCGACCTTCCGGCTTGTAGCATAGTGCCTCAACCAACTACTTCGCGGTAACATATATATATAATGAACCTTGCCATTTTTTTTAATTGACCTTTGCTTCTTCCTGTTCTCTTGGAATTTATCTAGAAACGTATTGCAGAACTGACTTTAAAAGATCTTTGTGCATGCGTGCATATGTGAATCATTTTGTTGATTTAGAAATAAATGGGGCACATATGTGGACTTACTGTTGGCTTAGTGGAACAAGTGTAATTTTGCTTGAGTGAGAATGTTGTACTGTATATTTGTCCTAGGCAAATCATGTTTGTTTAACCTCTAAGTATGTGATGAAACATGCCCATGCACAGCTGTTAATGACTGTTATCTGGAGAATACAGAACTGCTCTGATATGAAAAGTGTTTGTGTGTCAGTCTGCATTAAGAATAACCAATAATATAATACATATTTAGTTAATTTATCCAAGAAGACCGATAAAATGCTGTATGATAGATATAAAAATACAGTTATTGTGTCCTTTTTGTATATTAATTTGAAATTCTTTGAAATCATAATTTTAAAACTACTTACCAATTCATTATGTATTTGCATGCATGTTTTGACATGATCGCACATGTTCTAGGCAGAGCTAAGCAAACTGTAAAGGACGGCCTGCTTGGGAATTACAGAAGCAATGAGAACAGCTCCAACAGTTGCAATGGAAATCCTACTAGGACTCACCCCACTGCATCTGCAGATGGAAGCAGAGGCCAAGTCAGGAAATTACAGATTACATTGCAATGATCAATGGAGACCTAAATCCAAAGGTTTTGGACATGCATGCATGAATCAGGACATGAAAAAAGAACCATCCTGCAGATTGGGTCTGATAAAATGATACTGAAACATGTCTATGATAAACCCTTCATGATCAGATTTCCTGATAGAAGTTAATGGAGAAAGGGGTTCAACCCAATACAAAGGGAGGTCTAATCTAATATACGGATGGTTCCAAGACAAATAAAGGCACTGTAGATGGGGTGTATTGTTATGAAACGGCAGAAACGTAGTTTCAGCCTTGGTCAGTACACAACTGTATTCCAGGCGTAATCATATGCCATTAAGGCGTACACAGCTGAGAATATAGATAGAAACTATAAAAATAGGAACATTTATATTCTATCAGATAGTCAAGCTGCAGTTAAGCACTTGGCACACACCAAATCACTTCAAAATTGGTTTGGGACTGCCACCAATCCCTCAAACAACTGGCAAAACATAACAGAGTACAACTGATATGGGTGCCAGGTCAGGAGAGTATAGCAGGGAATGAAACCACAGATCAGCTGCCAAGAACAGGATCCGAACAGCCATTCATAGGACCTGAACCAGCTTGTGGCATCTCAGTTGGAGTTTCCAAGAAAGCGATCAGGGACTGGACAAAAAAAAAAAAACACTGGGAATCCACAATTGGACTCAAACAGGCAAAGAGTTTTATATCAGGACCCTCTGCCAGAAGAACGAATGACCGGTTAAAATTAAACAGAGATCAGTTAAGATGGGTGGTAGGATTACTTACCGGACACTGCCACCTGAAAGGACACCTTTTCAAGTTGGGACTGACAGATAACCCAATTTGTGAAAGGTGCCTACAAGAAGATGAATCAGCCACACAAATCCTATGTGATTGTGAGGCCATAGCTTACTTAAGATTTCATCACTTGGGTCAGTTCTTCATTGAACCAAGTGACTTTTATGACACCTCCATAAATAAAGTCCTACATTTCATTCGATTATGGCCCACCCTTTATGCACATAAACATACAGACATACATCGCACATGTTCTAGGCTATAAACCAACCTTTCGTACCTATTCTTGGGTCAGCCAAGAAATTAATGGATTTTCCCCCAACTATCTACCTTATATAAGATTTGAGGCTTTCATGGCGGTGACTATGAAGTGTGACCGCCCCACGCGTTGGGCGCCACTTACTCTCTTGTGACCGCCCCACGCGTTGGGCCCTTTACGTTGGGTGTCTCCTTCTTGTTGTCGCCTTCCCCCTTTACCTTCCTATTCCTTCACCTGGCTTCCGCCTGCAGCGGCTGTTGCTGATGCTCTTTGCCAAAGGAACACAGGTGAATTTTTTTACCTCAGAAGGTAGAGATGAGACTATCTCAGGATCTTTTGTACGGGCCTCGCTCAGACAGGGAGGCAGAAGCGTCTAATGATACACTTGCACTTTGCATGTGAGTATAATTTATTCTTTGTGAAGAAAGCGTAAAACAAAACACAGTTCACATACACAGTTCACCAAGTGCTGACACAACTGTTCCTAGCTGGACCACCACTTTTTTTTTCTTTTTAAGAGTGTTTGAAGAGTATTTGATGCCTGTTTGATGAGTTTTTGAAGACTGTCTTAAGACTATGACTCTTCGAAGACTGTTTGAAGACTATTTTAAGACTATGACTCTTCGAAGACTGTTTGAAGACTATCTCTCTGAAGAGATGTGAGCCTTTCCAGTTTCCGCGAAATTCCCAAGTCACACCCTCGACTTTTGAGGATTGGTCAGATTTGAAATAAGGGAGTTGACTCTGAATCCGCTACTTCCAATCATTTTTACTCTAGAGGCAATTTTTTTTCTTTAATGACCTAACGTAACTTTTTGAAAGGTAATGATGTATGCTGGCCATAGCGTCCCCTCCTGGCAAGCCTTCGTGTGACTTAAGACTAGCAGAAACTGTCAAGAGTCAAATTTCCAAAGTGAGTCGCCGAGCGACTCTGGAACCAAAATTCCATGAACTNTGAAGATGGAGGCGATACGTTCCTCCGAAACGTCGGTTAACACCACATATACACGGTGCCAAATCCCAGAAGACTGCTTTCTTCATCTACCTTATAGCTACTGCTTTTCAGTATGCCTTTCTCCACTCCCACCCTTTAAATGTGCTGTCTCTCTGGTGTCCGTTTTTGCAGTGTGTTTTGTTATTTTGCTAAGACAAAGAAGACCTTGACCTGTTGACAGAGGGGAATATGCAGTGTAAATATGGTTGGTGATGAAGCAACTGACAGAACTCCCACTACCTGTGTTTATTGGGAACCAGGGGTTCCTGGCAGGGACAAGAGGTGTACTCTTCTCTTTAGCATCCAGACCAGCATCCCACCCTGCCTCCTATCCATTGGATATCCCAGGGCTGAGTGGCTGTAGCATGAAGCTACCTGCTTACCTGTCTCTAGTGCCAAATTTTAGAATGTGTGGAGCTGTACCTCGGCTTCCCCATATATATTCATGGCATGGTGCTTAATTAAGAACATGACAGCTTTACCTTACCTGTGGTCTGCACTGGTAACACAGATCTAATTTCATAATGTTTGTCACAGTCAGAAAGTGAGATGTATGCATGGAAGGCAGGAGCAGTGCTAGTATTTGCTTAGGTTCAGTATATTAAAGGCTGTTGAAGGAGTTCATCCATACTGTCTTCCTAGTTCACATTTTGATGAGCTGTCAACTTCATACCCATATTACATTATATAGTCAGAAATAAATTAATTTGAAACCTTTTTCACAGGTATCTTGGAGTTCCGGAGAGGTGGCACAAGACCTTACATTAAGAGTGGAGGAGGAGAAGCTGTAGGGAATCGAGACCGCAGACCTCCACGCATTCAGCAACAGATGTATGTCCCTCCAGCACAACGCAAATAACAGGATGCTGACATGGCACTTCGTAGACATGTAAATGTGACAGTGCTATCCACGTATTTGGTGGAATTGTTTTGGAGTAGGATTTCTGCTATAAAACTGTATAAAGAGCCAGTAGGCTATTGTTGATATGTGTTGAGCACATTATAAGTTACACTGAAGTGGTATGTAAAAAGTATTGTAAACCTGAATTCTTGCCTTCACTGTTAGTAATCATTTACACTTTTAAGTACAACATTTAATATTGCAACCAATAATTTTATTTGAGAGCAGGTCAACTAATTCTGTTATTATACTTGGAAGGTGCTTTGTGTGTGTGTGGTAATCTGTCGACCAGAACCCTAGCCTGATTGTGCATACAACATTATGTTGGATAACGTGAATTTAAATATGGTTTTTACTGGATTTATTAGGTATAGACATGCATATAACTAAAATTGTTTGTATTTTACAGAATTGCTTTGCCTAAAATATTCTATTGGGAATGAACACTTTTGGTTCCAGTAAGGCCTGTCATATCTCCGAGATTATCTTCCTTCATGATTGTTGTAGTGCAGAATACAAATAGTCTTTTGTATAACTCTGAAGTAGATATTATGGATTTATATTCTTTGTTTTGAGATAACCTTACAATATGGAAAGAAAACTTCAATAATGTATGCAGTCAGTGTTCATTGGTATCATTCCATTCAATTCCTCATTCACACAAATCCTAGGCACTTTACTTTTGCAGGTACAGTGAAATCCTGATTTAGTGTTTCACATTTAGTGATTATTTTCTCTAATCTAAGCCAAAGCTCAGTATAAACAGTATCTTGTTTTCCCACACATAATGAATTTTGAATTAATAAATAACTGCATTTAGTGTAAGAAATTTTCACCTTCCAGAACTACTCTTACCTCAAGTTAGTGTGATTCCAGTTGACAGAACAATCATTATTCATATTTTCTGTCTGCCAGAAATCGTTCCCACACATCCACTGTGTTTATTGCTAGAAATTAATTTATTATTATTGATTATGTAATTGTATTTATTTATGTAGAGACGGTTTTTTAACTACTTATGTAAAGAAATTATTTTATCATAATTATATTCAGTATGTCTAATAAGAAGATGAAATGTTTCTTGATGCAGTTTTGCTTAATCCATATTCAGTGAAAACCTCATTTTAGTATAATAAAAGCCATTCACCCATTATATTTCTTACATAGGAATTTCTCGTTACACATTGCATTCGAAGCGTTTGTTGAGTAGATTCTTATATGACAGCTTCTTCATGTATTATATGGGACAGATATTCCTGAACAGTTTCAGCTTTGTCCAACATGCACTATGTAAGTACAAATAGGCATGGAATCTCCACTCTCCATCTACACCATAATCTTTTTCATTATTATGAAGGGAACATTTCTGTATAGGGCTTCAATCATGAAATGGCTCTGGAGACATAACCAGTCTTTGGCATATATTATGCCACAGACTTAGATTTGCTGGTGGTGGAATTTCAACTTGGCATTTATATTATTTTTAAAGTGAGAAATACGATAATAAACAGAAAAGCATAATAATTGTAATATATGTGGATTAAAAAATGCTAAGTTTTTTTGTGGATTTGGTTTGGAAATATTTTAGTTATGCAAACAGTGTTACACAGTCTCTACTGTGGGAGACCGATACGCTTCTATCCATTCACAGCCATTGTTGTCACTTCAAGTAGTATTCAGAATTCTAAGACAGAAGACTGTGTTTATATTCTAACATTTGTAATAGTGCAGTTTTTTCTGAAAGGACTTGTATGGCAAAGAGGAGCTTGATTTTCTTTTTGGTTGCTTTTCATTTAATTTCAAATGCAGCAGTACTTGGAGTAATGGAACTCCATATAAACCACAGTGCAGGCAAAGTTCCCGTGGTTTTGTCTCCAAAACTGTTAGTGAATGTCTGTATGCAGTTAAAACTTCAGATCCTTGCACAGTATCATTCTTGTCAATTTGGGAAGTTCATATTATAGGTTCATTGTGCAGCCTGGTTAATGCATTTCTTCCTTCTTTGTACTATATCACTTGTAACAGAACAGTACATATATTTACCTATCTGACTACCTGCTTTGTAGATCTTTGAATGGAATGTATTAGATAACTTTCAGTGGTTTTAATGCACTATAATCTTGGTATAATGACAGTGTGTCAAGTCATAAAAACGTTTGTTTGAATACTCACATATAAAAATCATTGAATTACATGACATTCAAGCCCAACTAGTAATTATGCATAGTACTATACAGCACTGAGGTTTAGAACAATGTGTGTGTGGAAATATTCTTCTTGGCATATTCATTCATTCATTTACATTCCATGGATTCTTACATGGCTGGAAGACCAATGGATATAGAAATAATCAATGATAATAAGACAAGTCACATCAATTACATAAATACAAATTAATTATACTTAATCCGTCAAAATTATATGTTACATGAGACAAATCATTTAACTGTTATAGAACAAAACAACAAAAAGGTGAAAATGCATGTAGTATCGTCCATCTGGCTGACTATATGAAAACAACACAGAAAATCAGTTTTTCTGAAATTTGACCCTAGTGAGTTTTACTAAAATTTTTGTCAACATAATTCAGTTTTAGGTAAAATGGAGAACAGTAAATGCCATTTTACATGAAGATCAAATTACATTCCTTTTTGCATAACTCACAAAATATTGATCAGAAAGAAAGTTGTTTTTGGACATAAATTATAGAGAGGATTGAAACACATTTTATGATAACAGCTATTAACATAATGACTGTGCCAGAACTACTGTGCTATAGTGTGTACGTTTCCTAAGTTGTTTGAATTAATTACGTAGACATGAAGTTAATTAAGAATAATTCAACATTCTGGACATCTTCATATTATTCAGACAAAGAAGTTGAATATTTTGTTGTGCTTACATAACCCTTTATACTCAACAGCTGTCAATCAGTGTTTTTGATTACAATTTACAACAGCTGGCATGCTAAGCACTTCTGCCTCAGGATCACAAAAGTTCAGACATATAGTTCCCAAATTTTGAATTTGCACTTTCCCCTACCAAACAAGGGATAGGCCAAGGTTGTGGTTTAACAGTATATTTACTGGCTGCTAGCGTGGCAGGCAAGCATCCGATTACAGTTTGAATCAATCATTATGACAGTATTGCCAGGAAAAAATGCTCTTTTTTTTTATATGAGATACTTCCACATGTTTAGCATCAACAAATTGATGGTGCCAATGCTATATCTCACTATAATTAAGTTCACATTATAAGCCATACTAATTTTCTTTCTACTCTTTCACTGCATATGGACAACTGATGTGATAAGAAGCATTGCTTATGCCCTTAAAGGAAAGGAATTTTTGTACACATTCATACAGAATGAAAAATATCACATTGATGCACTTATGTTTTGTCAGTATATCAATCATCCTGCAGTGAAAATACACAGTTATATCAGGTAAACAGTGTAATAAGTTCATTATTTCATACAGTAATGAATGAATTGTACGCAAGTATTTTCAAGGTTTAAGTTGCCAGTACTTTCTGATGTATGCTTTCATTTTCATCCAGGTTTATGGAAGCATGGGACTGGACTGAAGGGAATTTTTTTCTCATATTTCAAAGTTGGTATGCATCTCCTCCCCCATTTTCCACATAGTTTTAAATGTACAAATAGAAAGGTGTGTGGTACTTCTTACAAAGGTGATTTTGTCTTTGTGATTGCAAAGAAACAAAGATTTGCACATATCAGCAAAGCCTGGAATAAGTTCCTGTAAATTGTAATATAAGCATAGGTGAAACTGGCAGTTCCTTCATAGTTATAATAATTAGTATAAATGAAAGATAATATATTAGTTCTCCTGGGAAAAGCAGGGAACTTCGAGGTGGTATTTGGTTATATTGCATATTACGTGGTCTAAAATTAAAATTGTTTAATCAAGTCGAATTCATAATGTTTAACTACTTTTGGTTTTGTCTGCCTTAACTGTCCTTTGCTTCTTATTCTTAGGGAAGTGGTGACATCTTCAGTTGACATTAATTATGTAGTTAAGTAGTGATATGGTGGATTTGTTTATTGTTTATTTAATGACAGTGTCAGCAGCTCAATATCATAGCAGCATCAAATGGCAGGATGATGAATGAATAGTAAATTGAAAAGGATGTGGAAGGAAGCAGTTGCGGCCTTCAGAGTTCTATCTCAACATTTTCCTAGAGGGGGAAAGCCACAAAATGACCTCAGTCATGATAGTTAATGCCCTGGCCAAGATTCGAATTGAGTACCTCTGGAATACAAGCCAGGAGCATTACCATGTGAGTCGGTTTGTTTGGTGATATGATGGAGGAACTGGTGAATATTCAACACACTTTCAAATTTTATTTTATTCATCATTTATAGGCTTCAGAGCTTATGTATCATTCTTATAATTTGATCGTATAATTTTGTTGGCTTTTATCGCCATTATAAGCGTGAAATCCGAATGTTATGATATGACTCTGGGTCTTTTCTGTTTTTCTTGCCTTCAGTGATAATGTACAATGTTCTAAAGTCAGAGTCTTTATATTATTTTATGCTGTAGAAATAAGTAATGGATTAAGTTAACCAACACCACTTCACGAATATGTCTCTCGAAATTCATACTTCTTTCTGTTTATTGATATCCATATAAAGAGAGATGTAACCCCCTGAGCTACCCATTTGCCCTGTGTATTACAGTTCTTGAGAATATACATCATTGAAAATTCAAGACTATACGATACCATGCACTGCAAAGAAGAGACTTATAGAAATAATGGTAGAAATAGGCACCTCTGTGGATTGTAACCAGACTCATAAGTTGTGGAAACCATACCATCACTCAGTCATGGGGCTCAGCCCTTCTTGAGAAGCTCCCAACTGTGAGATATTCAAGAACTTCCTAGCATTTTATGGAACCCGAAGGTTCATTACTGTGTTCACAAGAGCCCTCCCCTGGTCCCTATCCTGAGCCAGGTCAGTCCACTTCATACCATCCCATCCTGTATCTCAAAGATCCTTTTTAATATTGTCCACCCATCTATGTGTTGGTCTTCCCAGTGGTGTCTTTCCTTCTGGCTTTCCCACCAATATCCTATATTCATTCTTCTCCTCATCCCCATTCTTGCTACATGCCCTGCCAATCTCATCCATCTTTACTTAATCATTCTAATTATACTTGAAGAAGAGTACAAGTTATTAAGCTCCTCATTATGCAGTTCTCTCCAACCTCATGTCACTTCATTTCTCTTTGGTCCAAATATTCTCCTCAACACCCTCAGTCTATGTTTGCAAACCATACCTTAAAAACAAAATATTTATTCAGCTTGGTTGATTTGTTATGCAGAAACATAATGTCAATTTTGTATGTTACTAATAAGCATTTTGACATTAATATTACCTGCTGTTGGAAGTTTCAGATGCTGCTGCAGCAATTAAGTTTGTCACACCCATAAAATGGCCTCTGAATTCTCCAGATTTAAATCCATTAGATCACCATGTTTGGAATGAACTTAAAACAGTTAGTGCACAAAACACAGAGAGAATCATTTTAGTTCCTGGAGTTACTGGAATAAAGAACTGAAAGTGCATGGCCACGTGTTTCACAAGATAACACTCAATTGGCCATCAACAAATGGAAAGAGAAGTTCAAGCTATAATTTAAAAGAAATTAGTTCCTGCTGTCACTGTATGGCCTGATGGATTGGGGGGGGGTGCATAAATTTATGTATTAAGAGAGGCTGTGGTATGAAAAGCCAGGCATAGTAGTAATGCTTTAGATTCATGTTTGGAAGGTGCTTGGTTCAAATCTCGAATGGGACCGTCTATTTTTACCGAGTTTCTTGTGATTTTCCTCAGTCCCTTCATGAAAATTATAGTATAGTACATCGTTTTGGCCGAGCGGCCTCCGTAGTCTAGAGGTAACGTTCCCACCTCATGACAAGTAGTACGCGGGTTCAAATACCCGGCAGAGGTCGTCGAATTTTTAAGGGCGGAAAAATTCAAGGAACAAGTCCTCTGGGAGGGACTTTAAGCCGTGGGTCCCGTGTCGTAGCTTTACAGCACGTAAAAGAACCTCATATCACCAAAGGAGGTTACTGAGCCAAATTAACGGACGTTTCCTGCCCAACAGCAGTCTCTAATACCTCTAGTAGTTGGGGGAAGCATTATAGATAACTCTCAGCTAGTAGAGCTGGTCTCGCTGGCTGGGCGGGACTGATGGTAAGCACCAGTATCGGTAGGATATAGAGACTGGTAGAAATCATAGAGGGAAGGACAATGGACCAATACAGGTCTCAGTGCATGGGGAAACCCACCCTCTAACTAACTAACATCGTTTGGGCCACATCTGCTTCCTTCCAAGTCCATTCCAATTCATTGTTCGTCTGTCTTATAGTTTTATGCTATATAGTCCGGCTACTGACAGCATTGTAAATTAACCTACAGACAAGTCCCTGTAAACAAGGATAGAAACATGTTGAATGATAAATATTAATATGAGTTTCTGCTCTGCAGAATTGTCTTACCTCAGCAGACTGAGGTCATCTAAGCACCTGTATCGTTCATAACTGAAAATGTACACAGAGGTGTAGATTTTGATAGAAATCTGTATTTCACATCATTTGACTTCACTGCGAATAATATATCTCAGTTGCATTAGGCTCATTTCCAGTTTGTGACTGTTTATGTATGGCTACATTGAACCTTTCTTGAATTGAAAGAGCTCTTGGCACTGGTGAGATCCAGTACAGGCTAATTTCCATAAAAAAAATTCCATGAGAACATTAAAAATTTTGGAAACTCAAGTTTGAGAATGTACAAGTTCCATTGTTTGATCAAGTAATGCATAATACTAAACATTGCCTAAAGAAAATATTTAAGTAGGTCAAGAAGAGAAAGCAATCCCAAAAGTTCCTTGCATCACACATTATGATTTTTAATATACTCTTGCATGATTTTCTGTACTTTATTTTAGTTGAAGGTTGTTGCCCTTGGTACAGGATTATTATTTTGTGTCATTACTTAATCATTCATTTCTGATTTGTGCCGGAAGACTTGTGTCAGGTAACTGAATAAGCACATTCTGGAAAGCAGGTAACAGACTTAGCTGTCAGATTTTACAATTGGGAACACATTCAGTTTTCTGGACACCCCTCTGAGCTAGGATAATCTTTGGTAGAAAAAGTAACAAATGCTTTACAGTTTCAGGTTTAAACTAATGGAGTTAATATAGTGTCATTAAACATACAAAGAAACGTGCAACAAATCAAATAAAATATCTCTCTTAATGAAGCCAGTTTACAGATTATGGGGTTGTAAGAAGTAGTAATTTTCCATTTTTGTTGCGTGTGCTTGGAGCTGGAAAGTTACGGTTGTGTTGTTTACATGCATAACTCAGGAAACGCAAAGAAGGATGTTAGGGACAGCATGAACAATTATATAAACATGTTCTCAGTATTGTCTGTCTATATGATGGATGACGGGTTCGATTTCTGGCAGGGCCACCAAGTCTACTGCATCATGGATACTGAATTGTAAAGCAGCTGGAATGGGAAGTTGACTACTAGCCAGCATCAAATGTCAAGGTTAAGAATTTGTAGAACTGTACCTACACTTTCTCATACGCGGTCATGACGTAGTGCGTAATTATTTCAGTTTGCTTGATTTATTTTAAATGAAAATTGACATTTCTTTTTATTTTACTGTGGGAGACAGTGATGAGCTTTCGAGGTTTGGCGAATAGTATCGTGAAGGCAATAGATGGCACCATACAATATTCCTCTACATACAAAGTGCATGGAGAGTATAGATCGGGTAGATCACGGATGACTAAAGAGGTCTCCATTAAAGTAATGTGTGTTTGTTATGAACAGAAACACTGAAGCGGGATGACATGGTAACTTCGTTTACAAATGAATGGGTATACTAGGACTCGATCCACATATACACGGATGTGCGTTTAGTGTAGTTCGTTGCGCAATCAATGTCAGCTACGGTGAAAAGCACGGATCACGGATTGAAAGTATGGCGATGGCAAGTTGGATGATTAGAGGGAGAACTTTACGTTCTGGACGTTCAATACGTAGTAAGAAAATTTAATGCGGCTTTTAAGAAGATGTGTTTACTTTAATTATGTCAAGACTGTTATGAATGCGTGTTCTCTGTTCTAGGTCGGCATGACAGCGAAGATGAAGTGCAACTAGATTTCTCGAAAGGTAGGTCCGTGTTCTGTCTGGAGTTTCAGTACGTTATTCATAACCTTATTATGTAAAAGAGAAGTTATATTGAGTATTTCATTGGTTAATTAATTATTTTCAGATGCAAATGAAAATGCACGGGAGATTCTTTCCTACATTTGCAAGAAACAAGGACTTAGTGAAGGAAAGCGGTTTAGTTACCTAAATGTATTAGTCAAATTGGTTACGAAATCGGACGTTTGGGCTGGAGGCCTTGGTTACACCATAGAAGAATTACAGTGCTGGTGGGTTTCATATTTTGTCCAGCAATTTTTGGTATTGTGCCTTAATTGTCTGCAGCAATGAGGTTAACTTTGCTTGACAGCTGTGTGCGAACATCTGTTGTGTAGTATGTTTGTAATATTGCAAGGCTGAAATGAAGTGCTGTATATTATTTAAGAATATTACCGTGGAAGGTGAATTTTTGCTTGCTATATTTGATAAATAAGTGAGATCAGTTCATTGGGTTATATTTGGTCAGCTGTTTCCATGTGTTCATTGGAATTTAAAACTGATACCTTGATTGAGTGCCCCTATGGTTGGGGTTCTTGTTGCCTGTAATGTCAGCATTGCAAAAAACATACTCATTACAAACTTAAACTTACTGTGATGAACTAGTGGTAAGTTCTCTGACTTGATGGGTGTGAGAGTAGGACCCGTCTGTACCTCCGCAGCAAATTTCATTTGCTAAGCACTCTTCTGTTATGATGCATGTGGTTATGATCTGTCTGGAACTGGGCCTGAGAAATATTCAGCTGTCATGGCAGTGTCAACAATTAGGTCCATTGATGGTTACATGAGATATAGAAAAAGAAGTAAAAAAACAAAGCTCTCCCTGTAACAGGCTCTAAAGTCCCGTAGGGTTGTGAGTTGTCGAGTCTCCCACATTTTTCTAGACATTCAACTCGCAGATGGTGGTTAATTTTGTGAGGCTTACATGCTGGCTGCTCGTTACCCTCAGGAGGATTCCTTGTACTCGTTTCTGTTAGAGGCTGAGTCTATCCCAGGGCCATAGTGTGGCTGGAAGAATTAGGTCAGTTGAAAAATCTAATGACATCATCAGGAATTGAGCCTGTGACCTTCCAGCAGATATGTCTTGAACAAAATAACCGTGATGAAACTAACTGGGTAAAGCTGGGACCACGTGCCCAAGATTTTTTTTAACTATTGTTGGTTTGCTGTATGTATAGTATGAGAGCACTACATGGCATTACAACTCAGAAGACAGTAGTCTTTGTAGTCATCGCCACAGGACCCGCACATCTTGCATGATTTTAAGTTTTCATCAAGTGTAGTTTACTGAAGCTTGAAGTTAATTTTACTTTAGCCAGTAAAAATAAAAAATCACAAATTATTTATGACTAAAACCAGAAATTCATGCCATAGCCAAAACTGATCACCTGTGCCCAAGTTATGAAATTCATAGAAAGCAAATGACTGTATTGATATTTCCATTATAAGTGTGCCATGCATTGTACAGTATCCAAGTTGCATAATCTTATTCTCTTGAGAATGATACTAACAGGTACAAATAGTCCTCAGCCCATACTATCTAAAGGCATCCCAGTTTCACAAGCATAAAGACTGTAAAATACATCAGTAGAAGGTCAATGAAAAATCCCATTGTATATTTCAATTGAGAGTTGAGAAACCACAAAGTTCTCGGTTTTTCGCATGTACTAGAAAGGAGAACATTATTCATAACTAGGAAATTATATTGAAAACTGTATAAGATTTTGTTTGAGGGAGAAAGAAGATGCTCATTTGTCCTTATAAATGTAGGGTTCTCCTGTATCCATATGACTACAGCAATACTTATAAACCATTCCATTGGAAAATAATAGTTGTGAGATTTGAGGTTCTTACAGCAGTGATTATGAGGATTGCTCTCTGGGATTTGACACTGTTTAGTTTGGTAGATATTAGCAGATGTTTCAGAGAACATCAGTTAGTATCTACCAGACTACATGGCATCACATCCCAGACGGCAGTTGGTCTAGTGTCCAAGACATTAGTTTGTTGCAAACATTTGAGGATCTCTGAAGTCCAGATATGGAGCACGCGGTAGCGTAATTGGTTGAGCCACTCTGCTACAAGCCGTCAGATCGCCTGTTCAAGTTGCGATGAGGTCATTGGATTTTTTCAGTTGACCTAATCCTTTCAGCCGCACCATGGCCCAGGGGCCGACTCAGCCTCTAACAGAAATGAGTACCAGGAATTAGTTAAATAATTTTCCTGGGGGGGTAAAGCACATTCTGATCATTATGATGTTCTTGTTTTTAGTATGTAATTTCTAATGACTGGAAAAGCTGCAAAATGGATTTGTAAGAGTTGTTTGCTTTATGCCTTCAGTCATATATGGTAACTAGAATTTTTAATATGTAAATTGTTAATCATTTTGTGGAGCAGGGTTAACCCTTTACCATCTCCAACACAGGGGAAAATAGTGAAAGTATATCATCATCAGTGCTTGAAGTGCTGAAATGTAACCCATGAAGGATACTTAATTTACTGGTCTGTTTCAATCAAAGAACAGTGAACCTAAGTCATATGACAGTGGATTAAACAGGCAGGTGGATGTTTTAGACTGATGTGAATTGGAAGTATATTGTATATATGTGTATGTATGCAAAGTTGCAGAAGTATTAGCCACACACATTGTAATTAGTATCTAGTACCTAGTATTAGATTATGTTGGAATGTCATTTATCTCTTCTCTTTGAAAGAAATGTATAGGGAATTAATTATTATACTTTTATTCACAGTTTGCGTGTAGCATTAGTAAATGAAGCTTCTCAAGTTCGTGCTGCGGCTTTACGTGCTGTCAGATATCTTTTGAAAGAAGAAAAAGATGTCAGGATATTAAACAAGCTTCGTTACCCTTGCCTTATATCCCGGTATGTAATTTGTGCATTTGGTTTAAATTTATTTTTGTCTTATAACACAGAACAGTGTCCTTAACTCTTTGACTGGCGCGAAGGGTATTTAAATCCCACCCCTGTCCTGGCAGGCCCTTTAAAGCTTATGTCGCTAAAATGCATGTAGTTACTTTTTCCTAAACAACTTCAACAAAAATTGGTGTTTAAGAACGAAATTTTCAGGAACTAATTATAATACAATATATTATGCAATAAATGCTTTTCCACACCTCTTTATTAGTTTTTCTTAGTGTGATAAACATTTAAACATGAAAGTTTGCAGAGAGCCACACCACAGCCTGCACACATGATACTTGTTTCTTTTCTAACCTTGTGCTTAGCACTCACGCGACACTTTCTCAGGGCACCATTCTTCTTATTGTTACTGGGAGGAACATGGACCATTTTGTGAATTTTCAAGCCACCCTCTAGACGATTTACTGGCTCTTTCACTGGTGGCCTTTTCAAGGTCGAGGGCGGAGGCGTGACTGCACTGCAC